AGTTTTTCAAAGATACTATATAATTAAGCTTTTTTACTCCTTCAAGTTATGACAGAGGCTAGACTGAAAAATACTGGAAGAAGAAATTGGTAGTGTCACTTTACAAATTTGTAAAGAAGTCTTTATTTCTAAGGATTACAAAAGGTAATGCTAACTAGACAGGTGAGTGCTAAACCTTTAGTACGAAGTTCACCTGATAAGCTTCAGGTAAAGCAAGTATTGATCCAAAGCCAGGAACCCAAGAGCTCTCTGCATACAAATTCACATTGCAAGAAGAATCCCTAAAACAAAATTCCAGACACAGTCTCCTTCACAATTAAAATGATTCATCTTTCCCATTCAGCCTCTATAACTGTCTTCAGTCTACTTTCCCACTATTTCTGCTCTTTCTTCTGCCACATGTTTTAACTCCAACTCTTAGCATTAACTCTTTTAACCATCGTCCAGGTTGAGACCTGGGGCATTTCACCTAAGGATTACTCCATTTAACTACATATCAATTTTGAAATGCCCCACACTTTAGCTTCTAAAACATCTCCTATCTGCTTGCCTTCATTTCCTCCTTTTCTTTTCTTTTCTTTTCTTTTCTTTTCTTTTCCTTTCCTTTCCTTTCCTTTCCTTTCCTTTCCTTTTCCTTTCCTTTCCTTTTCTTTTCCTTTCCTTTCCTTTCCTTTCCTTTCCTTTCCTTTCCTTTCCTTTCTTTTCTTTTCTTTTCTTTTCTTTTTTTTCCCCCTCTACAAACTCCTATTTATGCCACTTGTTCTTGATGGGCTGATATTCTTCTGTAGGATGATATATTTTGACTCTCTTGTCTCTTTAATCTATGCTCTTCTGAGGTGATCTCAGCAACCACAACAGCTTTAAGCTGCACTTCTAAATCTTTCACGTTTCTTTCTCCAGTCTGGACATTTCTTCTGAGCTGACACATATGTCCCCAATGTCTATCAAATATATCCAATAGATACTGCATAGGCACAGTAAACCTTATGTATCACAAAACTACTTCTTCAAACGTTTCTCACCTGAATCTTGGGAAATGGAGTCATCATTCACCTAGGCAATCAAGCCAATAAGGCTAGAGTTATTCTAGAATGTTCTCTGCTTACGACATTCGATAAAACTTTATTTCTTCAAAATTATTCAAGAAGCTACTATGTACCCAATATTAAGCCAGATGCTGGACATACCTCAGTAAACAAGGTAGACATGATTCTTATAGAATTTATATCCTAATGGGAGGTATAAAGAGGCTATTCATACTGTAGTGTATGTGAAAAACATTCCCAGGAGTTTCGCAATATAAAATCTATGGAGCTATATATATTCCACAAATAAAATATCAAAAGAACAAAAGCCATATGTTCTGTTTGTTGTTGTATTCCTGCATTATTGTCTCCCTAGATTGCCATTATAGCTCTCTAACCAGTTTTCTGCCTTTTTTTATATTTCCTAGTCCCTATCCTATTTATCTGTTCTGAGGTAGCCAGGATAATATTTCTAAAATTCCAACCTGATTATAACCTTATCATACTAAACTTACCTATGGGATACAATCCAAAGTCCTTGAACTGACCCATGACACCTTTATTGATGGAATCTCTTTATACTCCATTTCTCCACATGTATTCTCTGCTGTGGCCATGTGAAGCTCCTTGCAAATCTCCATGCCAAGTGTACTCTCTCATGCCTCTATGTCTTCAAACACACTCTACCATATATAATCCTCTCTGTCTGAATAACTTCTACTTACACTTCACATTCATTCTGGCATTAATCTCTACATAAAGTCAACCTTAAGATCATTATAGCCCCAAAGGTGCTCCACCTTTCTTTTCTCATTTCACTCTGCCTTTGCCCATCATATCACTTATGGAATCACATTATAATCCTGGGTTTGCCTCTCTCTCCTGCTAGATTTTAAGCTTTTGAGGGTCTGGGACCCTAGTTTGCTCATTTCCATATTTTTGCTTCCTACAACAGTGCCTTACATGGAGGAGTCCCTCAGTCAATATTTAGTGAATTAAATTAATTGGTGGCAAACAGTCTATGTTGCATAATGATATTGGGTTCTTCCCCAAATACCATGCTATGAAGTCCCGCCCAGCTCCAAATAGACAATGATTCTCTAACTCATCTCCTCTGTGCATCCCAGACCCTTTACAGTGACCAACAAGAGACTCCTGATAAAAGAGTAATTTTACATTTCCTTCAAAATTCAAGACTCACTTCCTCTAGGAAGCCCTCTTTATTTTTTCAATAGAAATATTTTCTTACTTTGAACTCCCAAGGTTTTAATACAGGAATGGATATTTGCCTATACTTTTACTAAGAAACTTTTCTATATATATGGACCCCTTTTTACCAAAATTATTTATCAAAGATCTTATGAATAAAGAAAGACTCCTCTCTTTGCAGAGTCTCTGCTACGTACTACTTTAGTACAAGTATGACAGGTACTTAATATATCCTTTTATCCCTGAAGGAATGAATAAAGAAACCCTCTGGATTCTGCTCCCAATGTGCTCCATAACTGTTCTCACAGACTCAACTATTTTCTTTTTTTTAAGATTTTATTTATCTATTCATGAGAGACACAGAAAGAGAGGCAGAGACATAGGCATACGGAGAAACCAGGCTCCCTGTGGGGAGCTTGATATAGAACTCAATCCCAGGACCCCGAAATCATGTGCCCTGAGCTGAAGGCAGATGCTCAATCACTGAGCCACCCAGGCGTCCCTCAACTATTTTCTATCTTTATCTTCTTTGATAGATCAGCATTATCCATCAGAGCTGACCACTCTCTTTCTTAAAAGGTAGACTATGCTTAGCTTCCATACACTTTATCCTTCTGATCTTTCTTCTATATCTCTGGCTACTCCTCAGTGGGTTCTGGGAACACTTCTTCCTTTACCAAACTATTAAACTTTTGTTTCTTCAGGGATGTCTCTTCCCCAGGTCCATTTCTCATCTTGCTCCTCACAAAATTGCCCAAACAATCTGTACTTTTTGCAACTTCATTTTAAGAGAGTAGAAAAGTAACTTCACTCTTTAAAACGTGCAACAGTGTGTTTCTAACAAGCATAGTTCTATCATTATAATGAATAAGGGGATAAAGAAGAGTAAACTATTGAATAATTTTAGAAAAATACTCAACAAACACATGGCATAAAAAGGACATTTATAAAGACCAGATGGACAATGTAGATGGTCAGAACACTTAAAGGTATTTTGTTCTGTAAAAATGTAACCTTGATTCAGATCATGTTACTGAATACAAAATCATTTGCCTTTGTGTGATTTGGCTTTAAACCACTGGAGATTGTATTTGCACATTTACCCCAGCAAAAGTTGTAGCAGAGTCCCTCAGGCAGTAGTGCTTAAGTGCATGATGAGGTCAGTGACTTGCTTAAGAGGATAAAGCAACATGCCCTCAGGCAAGCAAGAGGATTTAAATAGAGCCAATTTAGGAAGTACAGTGCCTCAGCAAATTCAGAAATTAATTCAAATTAAGCCATTTCGCTTTAAAATCTATGTCAAAAGATCAGTTCTTCAATTCTAGTTTAGAAGAAGTGGACGGGGGAGGGAAGGGAGTCAAAATGTATATTCCATAAAACTCCTGTGTTCAAAGTATGCATTCAAAAATTACAAAACAAAAATCACCAGCATGTGTTATTTCAAACTGATAGAAATGTGAAGTCAATTTTTATTTTTTTTAATTTTTTTAAAATTTTATTTTATTTTATTTATTTATGATGGGCACACAGTGAGAGAGAGAGAGAGGCAGAGACATAGGCAGAGGGAGAAGCAGGCTCCATGCACCGGGAGCCTGATGTGGGATTCGATCCCGGGTCTCCAGGATCGTGCCCTGGGCCAAAGGCAGGCGCTAAACCGCTGCGCCACCCAGGGATCCCTCAATTTTTCAATAAATTAATCAAGACAAGCTGATGGTTACCAGAGGGGAGATGGGTGGGGGGATGGGGATTAAATAGGTGATGGGGATTAAGTAGTGCACCTGTGGTAAGCACAGGGCGATGTATGGAAGTGTTGAATCACTATATTGTACACCCGAAGCTAATATCACGCTGCACATTAACTAAAATTTAAATAAAAACAAACAAAAAAAGAACTGGCAGTATTTCTGAAAATGGGTATGAAGAAAGAGATAAAAACAGAAGGACTAAAAAAAAAAAAGAAGAAAAAAATAATAAATCAATTGGGAATGGGGAGGATTGTAATTTATTCTAATATAAAGAATCTAGAAAATTAGATATGTCTGAAACATGTTTCTGTTTTCATTTGTATAATTCAGTTTGTGATAAATTACTTGTTCCAATAGTTATTTAATCTGCAGGCTTCATCTAGAACACTGACACATCTCCCAGGTATGGGGAATAAATTACTGATTGAAGTCCCTGGGTCTCTAAAGCAAACTTGAGAGTCTAATTGAAACTTTATTACTGTGTACACCTATCCAGTCTAGTAGAAACTATATAGTTATCTTTTTAGAGTACATAATTGTGTTCTGAGAGCTAAATTTTCACATCTGAGATCAACAAACTCCCAGAGACAGATCCATAAGAAGATTATATGAAGGAGAAACATTAAATCAAGTGATTTCCCGTATAAAAACACATCAATGCGATGGGCATTAAGGAGGACACATGATGTGATGAGCACTGGGTGTTATATGCAACTGATGAATTCTTGAACTCTACATCTGAAACTAATGATGTAATATGTTGGCTGATTGAATTTGGATAAAAAAAAAAAAAACACCAACAGCTTTGTCTGAAACACTCTCCATTTTGTTCACTGTTATTCCTGAAAATTATTGCTTATATGGACGCAGGATACCTATGGTTATAAACTTCTTGGTAACATATTATTGGGATTTGTTTAAAATATTTTTAGCAAAAATAATCATCTCTCATATAAATATGTTTTTCTTTATGACCTTCATGATGAACATAGAAATGCTAAGAACTGTAATGTGACCTTACCTTGCTTCCATTTTCTCTCGCCTCTCGTTCCATCTTGAGGTCAGAAATTAGAAGATTCTTATATTTGTTTTTTCCATTACTGCTGTGGTCATCTATTCTGTATTCCGAAGTCAGCTGTGCTGAGAGGGGACTGTCGCTCAGGTTCAGTGGCTGCTCGTCCTGTTCCAGTCTAGTTTTGCTGTCACCATTGGAGTCTCCTATCTCCCTGCTGTGTGTTCCCCCTGAAGCAATCGAATTGTGCCCCAGAGTCTCATTGCCATTAAAGCTCTCTGCAGCAGAATCATCTGTTGAAAAGAATATTTTGATTTTAATTAATGTGCCATTCAGCTTCTACTTCAACTGACATTTACTGAGCTCCGAATATGTGCCTGGCATTGTGGTAATTTTACATATCCTGTGTAGTCTATCCTCACAAATAAACTTTTGAAGCAGCCACTGTTATTACAATCTAGTAGGCATGTTTAGGCACAAGAAGTGGAGTAAAATAAGAAAAGAAAAATAGGGAAAACAATTCAATCTCAGATGTAATCTCAAAGGAAAGCAAATTTAAACAAAGAAAACTTGATCATTATTTTACAGATAGTTTTTGTTTTTCTAGTGAGAATATCCAGATTTGGTGAAAATTCTCTGATAAAAGCATCATCTATCCTGCTAGTGGGGTAGATGCTGGTTCAAGCTTTATGAGTGTTTAACTTGTATTCAAAATATTAAAAGTGCTCATAACCTTTGCTCCAGTCATTAAACTTTTGGGGCTTCTAAGCCTAAAGAGTATAATCATTGTGTGCATTTCTGTGCCGGTAAAAAGGCCCTTATACCAGTGTTCTTTACAATAGCAAATACTCAAAAGTGATAGAAATTACCAAATATAAAAAATTGACTTAATATATGTTGGAATGATTAGAATATGGGAAATATTGAATATTTTCCATTAATATTAATGGGAAACATGAAGTGTTATGGAAAAGGCTAGCTACAAAAATGGTCAAAATGATCCCAATTTTCTAAAAAGAAAACACATAACCATATAGAGTGAAAAAAATGTAGCCTAAAATGTCAATATTAATTTCTTCTTAACTGGAGTGACACTAGATTTTTTTTAATATTTTTTTAATCTTTATTTATTTATGATAGTCACAGAGAGAGAGAGAGAGAGAGGCAGAGACACAGGCAGAGGGAGAAGCAGGCTCCATGCGCTGGGAGCCCGACGTGGGATTCGATCCGAGTCTCCAGGATCGCGCCCTGGGCCAAAGGCAGGCGCCAAACCGCTGCGCCACCCAGGGATCCCGACACTAGATTTTTAAATTATATATGTTGTCAATTATTATTTACAACATATATATTTTTCTAATAACAAAAATAAAATAACTGTAGTAATAAAAAATAAAAAAAGCAAAACAGGGAAGAAAGGGAAGAAACAAAATTTGTCAAAACTTTCTGGCTTTCTAAGCTTGTTTAGAAAATACACATCAGGGATCCCTGGGCGGCGCAGCAGTTTGGCGCCTGCCTTTGGCCCAGGGCGCGATCCTGGAGACCCGGGATCGAATCCCACATCGGGCTCCCGGTGCATGGAGCCTGCTTCTCCCTCTGCCTATGTCTCTGCCTCTCTCTCTTTCTCTCTGTGACTTTCATAAATAAATAAAAATTAAAAAAAAAAGAAAATACACATCAGTAACAATTACAGTAAGAAACAAAATGTACATGAAACAATAAAATTCTATTTCTCTTAACTTCATCTTTAAGGTAAGAATTTGCTATTAATTTTAAAAGATTATGACAGACCTTTGTTTCCTTTAGGTAAGGGCTATTGATGAAGACAATAGAAAATATGAATGTGCATGAATAATATTTTGATTTCTGAACACTTTCAAGTTTGCTTTATCTCCATAGGATGCAATATTTAATGCCTTCTAATCAATTAAATTGACAAAAATAATGTTTAAATTCTGAAGGAGTGGTATAATTCACCTGTTCATTCATTTATCTAATATTTATTGACTACCTACGCTTGGCCAAAAGGGGGCTAAATAATTTGGCCAACAAAGACTCTGCCTTCAGTGAGTTCACAAATAATTAAAAGAGATGGAAAAAAAAATGCAACTAAAACGCAGAGAAAAAGGGTTTGGATCCAAAACAAAGGGTAAAGACATAACAGAAGTTCTAAAGAAGGTGGGATATGAACTGAATTCCAAAAGATGAGTAAGCCTTAGCAAGGTGAACAAGTTGGGGGAGAGGATTCCCCCCCTAGAGATTAGCAGGTGCAACATCTTGGAGGAAGGAAAGTGTGGGGCAGGTGAGAAATAAGGTTGGGGTGCTCAACGTGAACAAGAGAGTCAGAAAGGGAAGCATAGACAGGGAGGCAGAGAATGTGTTTTGTATAATAAAGAGCTTTTATTGGACCTTGGGAGAAAATAGGAACAATTTTATTGTCAGAAGTGATATGAAAGAAAATGTCTTTTGAAGAGATTACTCTGATTCTGATGAGAAGTATGGGATGAAGGTGACAAAAGGGGAAATTGTTAAGAGCTCTAGAAGCCCTCTGGATCAGCATTGTTGAAAGCCCAAGTCAAAGCAGCAGTAATGTAGAACAAGAGGGGACTAGAACCATCCTAAGAAAAGAACAGGTAAGACAGGACAGACAAAGGTCCAGGAGGAAGGCCAGATCTCCAGCTCCAATGGATAACAAAAACAAAGGGCATGGAGCTTGAATTTCAGTAAAATAGTATTTTAAGAATTTAATATCTTAAAACTATTTTTTGAAAAAGTTAAAAAGTATTCAAATGTCAAGATGCTCCTAATAAATTATTCCTTTTACATTCCCATTCATCAAAAGACTTCATGCAGAAAGAAAACATACATAAGAGAATTAAAGAAACCCAGTCATAAATAATATGACTTAGCATGTTCCATAGCTATTGAGAAATCAAAAAAATCTTTTAATCATGAAATATGTAAGGCTTTTGAAATAAAGAGTTAGGGCAATAATTTATATAAGTAATTCAGAAAATTCTGCATATCCTTTATATGAAGTTGAATCCAATGCTAGAGCATGCAAGCTCATTTCAGATTATTTCTTTCTTTCCACAAAAGTCCAAAGAAGAGCATAGTGGACACATTCCAGCTCAATTATTCCAATTATTAAATTCACAAAAAGTGTGATTTAACATTTGTGTACTAGAATCCTTTAAAAAATGTTAAACATTTTATGTAAGAAAATTTCATTCTTATGTTAAAAGAATGAATAACCCTAAAAGTATATCACATTTTAAAACCAAATCTAGGGGCATCTGGGTGGCTTAATTGGTTAAGCGTCTACCTGTGGCTCAGGTTATGATCTCAGGGTCCTGGAATGGAGCCCATGTCTGGGTTGGGCTTCCTGCTCAGCGGGGAGCCTATTTCTCCTTCTTCCTCTCCCTCTACTCCTCCCCCTGCTTGTGTTCTATTTCTCTCCCAAATAAATAATCTTTAAAATAAAAAATAAAACCAAATCTATACTAGCATAAAACAAATCCAATATTTATTATAGTTAATAATCAAATCTGGTACATCTCTGTCTTTAGTCTGAAATCATCATACATATTTACCAAAGAGTGTACTATTTATTCACATTTTAAAGAAGATAAACATTATCATCTATGAAGAGAATCTTTAATAAAAGTCATGTGTTTATAATTTTGGTATAAATTATAAACAATAAAGGAGAAAATATTTTTAGACAGAGTAGTTCACTCCAGATGTTACCAAGGTAACTGAATTCCACAGCTTTCCATATCTCATTCGTGAGTAAATCAGTATGTTTTATGAAGAGCAAATGCTTTATTTGTATAAAATATATATTCACACATTTTATCATTTAAATGGTAAAAGAATCAATCATGTTACATGCCACAATTTTATAAATCAAAATCTAAAACAAAGTTTCTGAAGTCAGTATTAGAAAAATTCAATATAAAGAGTGATCAGACATTAAACTGAAGCTAAATTAACCATTTTTATTGTCTGATTTCTTGTGACCATGTTAGCAATTTTTATTTTCTCTTAAAGATACTTTTTCAGAATTTGAACCCGCAAATCTGAGACTCCTATTCATCAGAGCCAACACATATCAGTTTATTGCTTTAAAGGGGAAATCTGCTTCCTTACCCAAGATCATTTGCTCCATCCTAAGTGGCTGCTGGCGTGTGGGTACCCAGCTGCTACACAAAGAGTACAGTGTTGAGATCTGTAGGTATAGCCGTTAGGTTCACTGGCCCAATTCAATGCTGGTGCTTCTCTCAAGTTTCAGCCTGGGGACCATAGCATTGGAACTATAAATTATGTGTTTGAATCCAAGGGGGGGGGGTGTGTGGCAGGAAACGGCACCTGGAGCTTTAGAAATTAAGAGTGCCCAGGGTACCTAGCAACAGAAGAGAATGCAGAATGTAATGACAGGTAGTGTGGAATCCAGTGACATCAGGAGGGCGGTTGGATGTTTGGGTTGCATTACTCTGAGGTTAGTTATTGCTGGGATGGATCTAGCGCTATGGAGAGGGCCATCCAAGTGAGTTGAGCTGTGGCTCTTGCTTGTGAGGTACAGTGACACTAACCATAGTAGCCAGCTTTTCTTTTTCTTCTTTCTCCTTCCCTATTCCCCATGCCCTCCATCAGTTAGTACAGACCCTAGAAGTACTAATTGTTTAAATTATGTCTAATGTCATCAGAAGAGTCAATGGTTAGCTCTCTATATAAAGAGAATGAAATATTACAGCAAGTATGATGTGTGTGGAATTAAATATATAAACATACATATATGTGTATGCATCACTCTCTCCCTTTCTCTATCTATATATATAAAAATAATGTGATGTAGATATATTTGAAATCTCCCAAAGCATCTGACCTACATTCTTATTCAGTTACTTTCAGTAGTTCTTCATAATGGCCTTGCCTTGGGCAAAATGAATAGGGAAATATATACGTATATATTCTTCATTTTAAGATTGGAACTTGGAAATTTAGTCTGGAAATCCAGGTCGGATGCTTATAGGGTCCAAAAAGCTTTTTTGTTGTTTTCCCTCAAATGTACCATAGTCTTCTACTTCTAGTCCTTTGGTGCTTCCTTAGAAAACTGCCCTTTAATATCTCATCAAAAAGCTAACTTTTAATTCCAAAATATAGATGTAAATAACCCTGTGTCAAAAGATTGGTACCTTAGTAATGAAAAATATTTTTTTTAAAATCCTTCAAAATCTACTTGCAAAAAGGAATTTAGGTGCCAGTCCCCTTCATCACTTGGTCACTCCTGATC